ACTGGTGAAAAAGAGTTAGAAAACATGAGGAGGGGAAAAAATGTCAGTGGCCTCCACCTGTAAAACCATTCCTGTTTTGATGTTCGTCTCGTTGTTGCCCCTCTAGTGCACCTGTTGTTAATTTCATTAACACCAAAACAGCTGAAACTGATTAACAACCCCCTCTGCTACTTACCTGACCAAATCAATATCCCAGAAGTTTAATTAACTTGATGCTATATTCTGATTACAAAGTTTTCCTTTAATCTTTTTGAGTAGTGTATAGGCACATCTTTTTTATACCATATATGTTATACCCCTTTACAGTTTATCCTATATGTTAATGTTAGGTTTTTGTAGCATGATGGTCCATAAGGAACCATACAGTTGTTTTAAGTTTGGAATGTTTCTGTCTGTATATAAGTTATGACAATTCAGCCAGGATCAGACTGGGAACAATTTTCCATCTACATCGGCCCAACAATGAATCCATGAAGCTCAGCAGTGTGTCAGCATTCACTGCCAGTCTAGGTGGCATGTGGGCAATGAAACGGAATAATGTAATAGATGAAACCCGATCATGCGCTGTAACATATTTCTGCAAAATATTCAAACATAAATTTGCCAAATATAAGAGGAACATCGTAGTTTGGTTTAAAGAAAGCATTTTAATTTTATTATAATTTAGTTTGTTGCAAGGATTTTACAGTGTGAAGAAAAAGAAAATTACACCATATGCCAACCGTCACCAGGTTGTGCATGACAAGGAAGGACTATATATACTGCATGCATCATCTAGGTAGTAAACATTGGATTAGTTCTTCAGCTCCTTGTTTTATTTTCTGTCACAGGGAAGTGCTTCAGTGTTGTGGCTGGTATGATTCAAGGAGGGCTGGCCCTCACACGCTGAAATTAGGACCGGCCCTGCAGGCAAACACCCAGTATCACAGATTACCAGTCCGAGCCTGAAGTCAGCCAATACATGCTAGAGCCGAGGAAATAACGTCTCTGTGGCTCATCTATTCACTTATCCCCCTTTTCAGGGCTTTTACATACATGATGGGAATCTGCTTTAAAGGACACTAACTGGACCTGAACCACTGGGAACTGACTGGTTCTGGTTTCTCTCTCAGACTGACTGAAGTCCAGAAGATGGAAGATTGGGATCCAAAGGAGGACAGAGCAGAACCTCCAGGATCCAGCTGTCCATCTATGAGTGACAGATCCAAAGAAGGAAAACCTCCAGACTTCCGAGCAGAACCGGGACCCTCAGACATAAAGTAAGGAACCACTTTCTAACTGATCCATGTGACTCTATAGAGATATAACCTCTAGAATCTGAACTGGTTGATCTTCAGCATCTAAATCCAAAGTTCTTTAGTTTTTCTTTCAATTTAAAGCTAAATAAACATTATGGATGTCAGTCAGTAAATCAGTAGAGTTTGAATGAAGGCCTGAGAATCAATGATGGAGGAAAATAGAACCAACCAAGAATCTGAGGAGCAACCAGGTTCAGAGATGCTCTCTAAAGCTTCTGGACCAAAGGAGGTTCTGGACTGGGAACACTGGACCCAGCATATATACTGGGTCCAGCTGATCCAATAGGCTGATGACCCGGCCAAAGGTTAACAGGGAAAAGCAGAACAACAGGACTTGGGTCGTCCCTCTGGTTCTAAGGTTCTGGTTCAGAGTCCGGTCCGGTGTTCTGTTCTTTATTGACGGCCACATCAGCTCCTCAGACAAGATGAACAGCTTTGGTTCTGATATCAGGGGGCAGAACCTCTGCTCTCCACCTTCTCACACTAGATGTAATCAATGGGTCAGTGTCCAGAACTTTCTGGACTTTGTAGTACTAGTAGTGGGTACTATAGTAGTACTTTGTAGAATCCTTCCTAGAAATCTGATCTCATCAGCTCCATTAAACTGTGACATGAGTCTGTTGTCCTGCAGGTGTTGCTTTGACCCATGTGATCCAGATCAGTAGAACCCAGTTCTTCAGATAATGTTCAGTTGGATCCAACAGAACCGTCTGAATGTTTCACTCTGGAACTTTAAACCTTCTGCTTCTCTGCAGCAGTTTGTGTTCAGAGCTTCGTCTTCTCTGGTTTTTATCTCAGAGTTTGTCACTGATTCATGTGATCTGAATAACAACATGTTTGTGTTTCAGAGGTCAGAACCACAGACAGAGAGCAGAACCTCCAGGATCCAGCTGTCCGTCTATGAGGAGTGACCGGTCCAAAGGTCGCATCCCAGACTTCAGAGCAGAACCTGGACCCTCAGACTCAGAGTAAGGAACCAGTTTCTAACTGATCGATGTGACTCTGCAGAGATAGAACCCCAAGAATGTGAACTGGTTGATCTTCAGGGTCTCACTGGTTTGGACTTTGTTCTGCTGGTTTCTCATCAGCATCCAACAGATTACTGACAGGTCCAAAGTTATTTCCTCTCCTTCCAGCCTGATAAATCCCAGAAGTTGTTCAGATGTGAATCTAAATGAGCAGAGATAGAGACTCAGTGTGTCATGAATCAGCAGAATGGTTCTGGTTCCTTCCAGCAGGTGGAACTGGGCTGTAGAAGCAGCCCTCACTGCAGCGGGCTCCTTGGTGTCTTTGTCCACACAGTCCTACCTGTGGAGCTGCAGGTTGGGTCGTTCAGAGCTTCATCATGTTGCTCAGAAACCATAAGTCTCCCAGCAGCTGTTCATCTGCAGCTCTGTGCCGTCTCTTTCCTCCCAGCATCAAACAAACCTTAGCGTCACCCTGCCTATGATCCAGTTCAGGTTCTACTGGGTGCTTCAGTGGTAGAGTAGATGCTACATGTGCCGAGGCTATAGTCCCTGATCTGATTGTCCTGGGTTTGGTTCCTGTTCTCTCCACCCTCATAGAGGTCAGATTCAAGGCGGGCTAAAGGCAGAGGCCAGAGGGGCCAACGCCCCCTCAGAGCTGATCTTCTGGAAGATAGAACTTTCTCATCTCTGTCCGCTCCGCTCCGTGCTGTGAGCTCGGCAGAACCCTCAGGTTCCATTTATTTATCTGAGGAACTCAGAATAAAAGTTTTATTGATCATTTCAGTTCATCTCAGCAGTGATGGTAGAGAAACACTAAAAGCTCATCTTCAGCTCCCAGTTCAAACTGGTTTCGGTGTTCCAGACTGACTCTGTGCTCCAGCTCAGCTCACTGGCTGAGCTAAACTGGATCATTGATGATGAAAAAATGTCGAGTCATGGATGTGAGTTTTTGTTGATGGGAGAAGACTTGGAGGAAAAGGTGGTGGTCTGTCACACATTTATAATGCATAATTGTGCTATAATCTGCTTAGCAGTATCAGCTGTGCTGCTGCATCCTGTTTGGTCATGCTGCCCACCGGGTGTGTAGTGGTGCACATTCTGCACGACCACAGATGGACCACAGCAGCAGGGGGGAAAATAATCCGGAATGGTCCAGTTTTGCTCGCTAAGCTCTGAAAAACTCTACTCTTCCAGTTGTGCTTGAGCAGAAATGCTTCTTTGCATGCACGTAGCTCAGAGTCTGGGCTTTACGCTTGTTGAAAAACACCGTCATCATTTTTCTGCGGGTCCGTTAATTCGAGTGCAGGTAACTTAACTGAGATGGTATGTTATAAAAAATCTGGACAACGAAGCTTCGATTCGCCTTTGCAAAGGGAGAGGAGAATCAGCAGCACGCATCTGCGAACAGCAACTCTGACCCCCCCTGCAAAACCGGCTATTTTTATTATCTTCATAGGGAAACACTTACAGTTTCACACAGACAGTCCCACAGATTGATCATACTCCCTACTTCCTATCTTCAAATATGGAGTTGCTTCCTGCCTTTCTGCTTCTACCTTGTTAATCAGCTTTTTCTGCGTGTGTGTGCGAGCAAGGTCATTCTACCCTCTTATCTACAGATTTTATCATCCCCTCTGCGAGCTTTGGCCTAACACCTGGGAATAGTAAATTTGCTGCCCATCCTTAGATTATACATGGCATACACTTCTTCAATATGAACAATAAGTTTTGCTACAGCTTTAACTTAGCTCTTTAAATCTTTTAGCTTAAACATATATATATATATATATATATATATATATATATATATATATATATATATATATATATATATGTATACATATATATATGTTGACGTTTTGAATGTCACCTTTAAACAAACCCATTAATGTCTGCTCATGACCAGGATATAAATCATAGAAGAAAACTTTAAGCGCTGTTTCTTTCAACATCATAGAATCATGGAATAAACAATCAACAGTCCCCATGGAGATGTATCATTAATCAGGGATCAAAGTAATCACAATCAAAACTTCAGACCAAATGTTGTTGCTCAAGACCACAGTTTCAGCATTTAACTACAATTTGGGTTTCATCTAGGACTGCAACTAACGATTATTTTAAAAATCGATGAATCGGAT